ATTGTTTTTTAATGTATTGAACTTAATACTGTTGTTCAGGTAATAATAGTAGATTTAAACTGTTTTTATGAGGTCCGTTATTAAGCTGACCAACAAAAATATTAAAAAAGAAAAAAGAAGTTAATTTTGTTGCTGAAGCTAATTATGAAATATTAATGTCCTAGCTTTACATTAGCCTGTTAAGAAAACTAGTCATCGACAGATAACCTTTCTTGGAATAAAACAAAATTTTAAAAGAATTTAGGTACCAATTTCTACTTTAGAAAGCGAATATAAAACCTTTCATGTAGTAACAGTTGTACCGTATTTATTTTCAATTTTGTTTAATTTTAATACAAAAATTTATTTCTCATAACTTGTGAAAAATTGGATTAATCCTTTTTTGAACAGATTGGCAGGATAAAAAGTTAAAAATTTAGGTAGTTTCTCATTAATATCTACGAATAAATCCTTAAATGTAGAAATAAATTCTAAAACATTTCTGAACCCTGTAGATGTAGGGCATTTAGGAAAAATTTGTGACATTTCCTTAACGTTCTATCCGAAACTCAATTAACGTCTTTACTCACTCTCTATATGGAGTCCTTTGGAGCGATAATCTTTTAACTCCTACAGCTTTGAAACCAACCGTTGCAGCTGAACATTCTTCATGGGGGAGGGGGGAAGCTTATCGTATATAACCCTCATACGGTATTCGGTTGCGAAGCTTTAGTGGCATCTACGAATAAAATACACTTACTTTTATTATGTGTATTGATATTGATTAAACTTTTCTTTCAATATTAGAACAAATGCTTATACTTAAAAGGATGACTTAATATTGATAATCAAAAACATACAAAACAATTTAAATTACTAAATTTTAATACGAGATCGAGTGAAATATATTTTTTCTCCCGCTATTTTGAAAACTGCCCTAAACTAACTAAATTTTTTTGAGAAAAGTGACTCCTCTCAATGGCATTTATTTACATGGGAAGATGACTGAATGTGTTTGTACGAATTTCTGTAAAGCATACCATATATTTTTCGAAAGGTGACAACCCTTTGCTTATTGCATGTTATAGAATATCCCTCTGTTCGGTTCTTAATTCTCCTCTACTATACACGCAGATAAATCTGTGGTGAACAAATCTTTGAAAGTAAACAACAAGAGATTATTGTCTTAAAGGATCCAAACGTTTGGTTCGACCAAACTCGGATAGGATAAAGTAAAATGGAATTTTAATCTAGGAAAGGATTTATATGTAGAGTTAGCGACAAGTAATTGTTTCAGCAAGTGTTTGTTTTCAGCTTTACTAAAATTAAATGAAATAAAATACATATAAGAGAAAAGTTTTCTAAACATTTAGAACATACATAAGTTCTATTAAATAAATTGATAAAGTACGTTGGGCTCAATTTCTTTTCCTTTTTCTGTTGATTTAGAAGTGCTAAAAGTTCATTACTTTCTCTGATTTGTACTAAATTGTTTGCTTTGAATTAAACCATAGCAGACAGGGTGACAATTTGCTATTTCTTAATGTCTTTAATGGTTATAGAACCGACGCCAACGTTTCGCCTGTTCTTGGGAGTTATCACTAACTAAAAGAATCTCCCTTGATAAAACCTTTCAACAAGAGACGAAACGTTGGTGTCGGTTCTATAACCAATTAAGATATTATCATCCACCATGTCAACAAATGGTGACGATACCTGTAATTATAATTCAAATAAAATTCAATAAAAAAAATATTTTCAAGCGGGTGGAGGTGGAGAATCGAAAGAGGGTGGTCACTTGAACAAAACCCGATAACCTAAGCTAACCTAACCTAACCCACCCTATTGATAAAGAAATTTAAATAATGTTTTATATAACTTTCTCAATATTTTTATGTATTTTTCCAATAGTTTTACCTTTGAATATTGTTTAAGAATGACTATATAAATATTTACATGCCTAGAAATGTATAAAAATTGGCATATTTATTAACTTTGAACCCCTATAACTTTTTATGGGGGTGAGACCGCCACGAAGTTTTTATGGTACAGTGGTGGGGGAGACCTCCTCCTTCGATCCCCTCATCAGCTTTGGGGCTTTCTTTCTTTTTAGACCTTTACCAAAGAAGGTACATGGGTGTATATTTGAAAACTAAAATAGTCCAATAAAGTGCGTTGGGTATAATAAAATTTTTGGAAGGTAATCCAGAGCGTTACGTTTTTTTTTATTACGTTCATAAGTAAACATATGTTTTGTGTATTCGCATTCGTGCTTTTATCATTATCGTTGATTATCTTTAGAGGTTTTAAAGACGTATACTGAGATATATATCGTATAGCGTATGTACATAAAACCATGAACTAGAATTATCTCATTTAGTAAGTGGTTTTATTCCGATCTGCTATGTGTGTCAGTGTTCAAAATGAATACAAGAGTGGTTCAGTTATTGGTCACACAAAAGTTTAGGAAGCGCACATACAGCGAAGGTTGTTATTCATTTTTTATCCATTTCGTTTTTAATTTAATAAGTGTTTGTTTTACGTCGATCTACGAGTACGGAAGTTTGAACGTACGTAGAATTTCCTTATCAAATAAAGATAAAATTTTGTTATTATTTTGTCGATGAATTTGTTTCCTAATATCGGAATATTTGAAGTTATAACTTCTTTTGTAATTGCATTTTTTTGCAATTTTCTGAAACAAATTGTTGATTGTTTTGATAAATAGAAAACTTTCGGCAATCCATTTTTGTTGAAGCATCAGAAACGCTTAATTCTTGTTTGAGTAATCAAAAGTTCAAGCTAGGGTAATAAATACAATTAATTACCAAGACACATTTTCTAAGACGTAATGTAATGTTCTATAGTTTAGCTTTTGTTTATATTCGACAAACGAGACTAAAAAGGCACGTGCAGACAACTGTTGTACAAGAATAATTTCATCGACTTGATCGAATCTTTTGTCACGAGTAAGATACGTTGTACTTTACCAAAAGGTGTCGAATTTTATTTAAAAGGAAGATATAAATAACGAATAATGAATTATTTAAAAGGGAAATGTTATTTTACCTCTGACAAAAGAGATGCGTGTCGTTTATGTACTTAAAAGCCTTGTCTGTCGGTCTGTGCTCAACAGCGTCGCAGCTCCATTACAGATGAACCGATTAAATTGTTTTTTTTTTTTCTTTATTGAAAGGTATCTGCGAAGTGGGTCGAAATCGTTTTTTATGGAATTCGATTTAATATAATGCTCTCGGCACTGTCTACTCTGGTTTTTTTTTTACATTTTTGTAAAGCATTTTCGATTGTTTCTTCTTCTTCCTTTTTCTTTAAAGAATCTGCATTTCCTCCTTTCCTATTTCCTCTAATATTAATTTCCTCTTATTTCGTTTTCTGTATTATATCTTGCATTAATTTCTGCCGTTTTAATTGGTAAGTCTGTCCATTTTGCCATGGTTTGTTTATACGAACTTATTGCTTAGCGTGTTCGAAGTTTCTTAATTGTACTTCCCAACTTTGCCTTCGTTCTTATAAGTTTTTTCTAATTCAATTCATACTTTTTACGCTCTAGTTTTCGTTCATAAAATTTCAACAATCTTCCTTTATTTCTAATAAGAAATATTTTCTGCTTTTCTTCAGTTATTATTTTCTGTTGTCTGTTTTGCTACTTCAGATTCCTAATTTACTGTGTAGGTTTTTAAAATTGTATATGAAAGAAAGAAAATACGGGGGTGCCGCCCTCGCTTTCTCCTCGGGTAGCAATTCACATCCGTGAGTGAATACCGTACTTTTTTCCCTTGGTTCGTAATATTACCACCTTTTTAAAACGGAATCTTCATCTCGTCAAGAAGTTAGTTTAAAATTAACTGTAAATTTTATCGAATAAAAAAACATAGTAATAAGAAACTGAGTTGTTAAAAACGTGATAAAAAGTGAATTGTCTCAGGCCTTTAGATAGAGTTTCGAGATCTGTAACTGCTGCTTTTTTACTATTTGCTTAATACAATATAGATTTATTATTTATAAGGTGAGTTTTATCAAATACAGATCTAGCATTTATCTATTAATCATATTTGATTTAAAATGTTTACAAGTTGATATTTAACTGCGTTTTCGATTTACAACGTGCATTCCTGATTATGAAGATGTGACACAATGATCGCAGAAAATATGGATTTTAGGTCTTTTCCCTATGCCATGTGACTTCTTCAGGTGAAAGAACATAATAAGCAAAGTACATATACAGGAATTTTCTTAATTACTTATGTATATATCATTTTTGTACAAAAAGTGTTTGCTGTCAATTGCTAATCATAAGAATAAGTGTATGTGACATCAACCTTATTTATATACGTGTACTACATTTGATTCTTGGATGTTGTTTTTGTTTTCTGCGTTTACCGAAAGCCCAAACAGGGTGCAAAACCTTTCCGATCGAATTGAACACTAAATCAGCGGAATTACAATCGCCGAATAGTTACGTCTCCACTTTCCCTATCGTAATTACCTGCGTATTATATTTTTTGCATGAAAATTTTTATTTCACCTTGGTAACCCTCAATTATCAATAAAAACATTCCGGAGCCATACATCTTGAGCTACCTTTTTATTGGGTTAGCAGTATTTTAAAATAATTCTGGACTCAAAAAGCCTTCTCATTCCTTACATACGTAAATCAGAAATTATGCTGGTTTTTAGCATTGTTACAAGGGCTTGAATTCTTCATGAAAATTGCAAATAAAATTGTAGACCGTTTTAAACTAATGACGAACTCATCGCTATAAAAAATTAGTTCACTTACATTTTTACAACCGGTTTTTATCCTTTTTAAGTACATTTTAGCGTTGTTAAATATTGGTCATCTTAACAAAGTTTAGGTACGTGTTAAAGCGTAACCAAAGTAGATTATTTATTAAACGGGAATATAAGCCTCATTCCCTGTTGTTTTTTTTTTATTTTTCAAAGGATGATCTGGTAGCCAAAGTAAAGGAGGCAATTAATTAGTTTTTTTTTTTTTACAGGAGCACATCTTCGAAGAACGACATTAGACCCTGACAGGCGTAGGCAATCTATTGGTACCCTATTACCACATAGAGCTTCCGATGCTTTTCTAGATCCCCATCATGCCGCCATTTTGTTCAGAGATTCGCGAGGGGTGAGTTGATTTATTTTTTTCTTTTTTTTGTTATTTTGTGGTACATAAAAATTACCAGCCGTTTTATTTATGAACACATATCTAAAATTTAAGGGAAAAAGGGACGCTTTGTGGTGAGTCCTCAGTTTTTGATTCGACACGCTTTAAATTATAGCCTTCAATAAGTAAATGTTCGAATTAGCAAATTAACAAGATACTTTTTCATTTAATAAATAAAGATGTTCGTATAAGTACGATTTAATCAAAAATAAAATAGTGTTAACATTTTAATAATTAATTAATTAATGCCAAGTATCTTTCTATCTTAAAGCTTAAAGTTAAAGTTAAAATAATTTTACGAAGTGAAAAGTATCCATTTTAAATGTGGTAATCTTGAAATTTGGAACTAATCATTTAAAATCTTACGTAATAATATCTTTTTTAAATTGCAGTTATATATTGCCATTGTATTATTTTTCCACAAAGTTTGAGAGCTATCAATATTCTTACGATTTGAAATACATATAAATATCTTATAAATACCTTTAAAAAGGTTTCAATGAATATTTTCAAAATCTTAGTTGAGATTAAAAAACTATTAAAAGACGGATACTGTTCAATATGTTGTTGTTTTTTCGTATATCGAACGAAAATAACGGAACTTTTTTCTATTTCGCTTTGTTCTTTTCTTGATAATTGCTAACTGATTTAGATAATTAAAACCTGTAGGTAGAGATGAAATCTTCGTGCCAAGTTTCAAAATTCTAAATCGACAGAAAGTACCCTAATAGATTTTGATGTGTCAGTCAATCAGTAAGCCATTACTTATATGAAAATACATACCTCTAGAAATTCCTGCTAAAAAGAGTCCTGATGGACATACAGGCAAACAATAATGTAATGCTACAACGTTATAAAGTTATGTTTATTCATTTCGAAGTACGAAACCCTAAAAGTCCAAGTCAAATATTACGTAAACTTAATTTCATTATTTTCTACATATAACGTGGTGTTACTCATTCAATTACCCTGTCCCAAGTAAATGCGGTTTGAATGTACGAAAGAGGGGAGTTATTACCGCCAGATTGGTCATTCAAAATGAGTGTCAATCTTCAGTTTCAAGATTTTGTAAAAGGGTCAGTTTTTATCCTTTATCACATTTATGCAAAAAACAATGCCGTTCCTGAATAACTTGATGATAACAAAGCTTGAATCAGTATTGTTCTTTAAATTAAAAAATTAAAATTTTTTAAAATGTTTGCCGGCTTGCCCAGTATAAACTTTAGGACAAGACCCACAATAAGTTGGCTTATAAACCGCTGACTGTTTTTCTTTATTTATTTTACCTTTGTTATTTCCAACGAATTATTATTTTGTAAGCCATTAAGGTCAATATAACAATTTTTTTTTCATTCTTAACAAATTTTGGCCTGTAGATCTTCATCGCCATTTGTCGATAATCTATTGAATAAACATTGCTTTGGAAAATATAGAGGAAATCAGAATTTTCATAATTNCCATATATCACACAAATTTCTAAATTTATCATCAACCAAGAAGCAAGGATTCCTCCATTATCTTCATTTAAAAAGGACATTGATTTTGAGGTGATAATAGTTTTTAATATGATGCAATAAAATTTGAAATAATTATTGCTTAGTTTTGAGACTTAATTTCTAAAAAAAATGTGTAACATGTTCAGATATTTATTTAACAATTAAAACTTGTTTACTCACAACGTATATAGGAACTGGAATAACAAAACTAATACCGTAGGATAAATTAGGACAACGCTTTAGGTCCTTGAGAAATCAGAGTTCTAACAAACGCTCCCTAACAAGCCCTTTCGAAGGATTTTTTTGTGATGAAAAGCAGGGTATAGGTAAATCGTACCGGACCTTATCCTTCGACCGTTTATTTATGTCATCCAATTCAAAGCATCACTTACCTAGTAAGTAATAAAAAACCATTTTTCAAAAACGATTTTACTCCAACTTTTAAATGGACTTAAGTAGGACTCTCCATAACACTCAGTACTTCTATCAAGCTTTATAATGACTAATACTGGAGACAATTATGAATTGTTCTGGAATCGGGAGCGTCTAAATCCACAAGGGAAATTTTGTTTCCGCAGAAATTATAATCAATACATAGTTATTGCTGTTCATATAATGTAATGTTTACCAACTACAAATATACAAAGTATGTACAGGTCGACGCGAATAAAAATTGCTTAAAAAACTTTTAGGGAAAGAGCGAATATAAAGATGGGAGACGAAAAATTAGGAGTGGCTGATTTTAGGGATCTAGGAAGTCAGATAAGTCAGGACGGAAGGAGTAGTAGAGATATAAAACAGAGGATAGTGCAGGGTTGAGTCGCCTTCAATAAAAAGAAGTAACTTCTATGCTCGCGAAAAATGTATCAGAAAGAATAGGAGAACAGAGGACTGTATGGAAGTCAATAAGAAATAGGCGAGATAGGTTAATAGGACACCTTCTCGGGCATGAAGGGCTAGTCAGAGACATATTAGAGGCAGAAACGGAAATTAGGAGGGGTGGAGGTAGACCTAGATTAGATTACTGTTGGCAAATAGTTAAGGATGTGGGATGTTCTAGTTTTAAGGAAATGCGAAGTTTAACTCAGGATAGGAAAGAGTGGAGGTGCGTGTCTAACCAGTCTTATGATGATGAGAAGACCACTTAAAAAATAAGCCTTAATTTTGTCACACATTTATTAAGGAGTCAATATTTTCACATAATCTTAATTATTATTCACCTTACGAAGCCTCGCGTGCCTTGTACGTTGTGTACATAATTCTCTAAGTAATAAATGTACAATGTGTGTACACTTTCAAGTAAGTGCTTATATCTGTAAAAGTTATTTACCGTATTTATTATTATTATTATCATCATCCTGATGTTTTTCCAATTGTTTTGTGCGCTTTTTGTTTACTCGAGGATGAGTCATTGTTTCATTTTTGAGCAGTTGTATAAATGGTTCGTTATCGGCGGTATGTTGTTATCTAAACTACTAGTAAGTAGGTCATCTCACAAGAAAAATAATTTACAATCTGTCGATAATGATCAAAATGACACTTTCGTACACTTTAATTTGGGAATGTGGCAATAGTTAACTGACCTCTCTATTAGTGAAGACCTAATTACAGCCTATTTCGTGCAATAAATACTCAGTCTGTGTTCGTAACAAAAGGTCGGATTAAACATGTATTTCAAAAAATTGTTTCGATACTAAGTACGTATATGTAACGATGGAATAAAAATTTACATGTAAGGTCGATACCTTCTTACTCATTTATAATTTCCATGGAATTGCTACAACGAGTAAGAAATGCTTCGAAAATGTCATTACTTCAATCAGGTTTTATAATTTTTTTTTGATGTAATTTTGTTTAAAAAATGAAGATTCGCTTCTTTTTTTTATTAAAATTCAAAATGTTCTGATGCAGAATTAATTTGATATTAATGTAAGAAGGAAATATCATAATATTTTTTTGTACAATATATGGATTCAACAACTGGCGGTAAACTGACGGGCAAATTTTATAGTAGAAGCTTTTTGATACTTTTTTTATAGACATATATACGTTTATTCTGACAGCCTTCAACCTAAAACATTTTAAAAAATCAAGACCTTTGTATTACGGTACCTTTATCCTCCAAAGTGTGAGTTATAAAAAGGAAGAAATTGAAAATAGTTAACTATTCAATTTGAGAAGAATTTAAAACAGTGTTGTAGTTTTTCTACATCTATCCCAATTTATAAGTTTATTGTTGTTGGTACTATAATAAAGCGTTACCAGTAACATCGGAATTCTGTATTTTCGATTAGGCAATTGTTAATTTTACAGTTGAATATGTATTCTTAAATTGGCTGTTTAATAAATTCATTAATTTAATTACTAACTTTAATCTTATACTGACAGTTTCTCTAAAAAATGGAAATTTTATAACATGCTGCAGTTACTAATTCCTAAATTAATTGTGATTCACATAAATGGTGTAATTATTTTAAGTAATTGCTGGTTAATAAAACAAATCAATTGATGACCGAATTGTGGATACTTTCCATATCACTTCATCATCATAAGGTCGTCAGTCCTAAGACTGGCTGGTCACCCAACTCCACTCATTCCTATGCTGAGCTAATTTTTGCATTTCTCTAAAACTACAACCCACATCCCTAATATTTGCGAACAGTAATCTAATCGAAGTCTACCTCTACTCCTTTTAACTCCCGTCTCTGCCTCCTATTCCTTCTAATACATCTTCATTTCTAGCCTTTTTTATCTACAGTATCATAATCATTCGCTTGCAAGACCACTTTTCTAACGCTTCTACCTTTTCTTTTCCGTCGCGCCTACTGTAACAATCTTTTCCGAATTAATTAATCGTTCATGAGTAAAAAAGTGACTTCTTTTTATTAAAGGCCACACGACCCTGCGCTATCCTCTGCTATATATCACTACTACTCCTTCCGTCATGACTTATCTGAGATACCTAAAATCGGCTACTTCTAATCTTTCGTCTCCTATCAATATATTCGCTCTTTCCCTACTTTTTTTTCCCTTGCATACCAGTATTTTTGTTAATATCGCTTCCATTTTATTTAATGCTATATCTATTTTCTCCTTGCTAGATGCTAATACTGCTTATCTAGGCATACTAATCGACTAGTAAATTTATACAATTATCAAAAAATAAGTCACAATCCGTTTTATAAACTGAACCCAAAGTGTAGACTTAGTAAGAGATCTTTAAACAGTATTTAATAGTCTTTTATTATTTTTATTTTTGCTTAGCTAAATGCCTGCACTTTTTCTTTTAAGAAGTACTTAAAATTAGATTAAAATGATTTCCAGAAATACATCGGTTTTTTAATTGTGTTATTTCATTTCGGAATCTTTTTGTGGTTGACGTTTACGTCAATGAATTAATTTGTATCCACTATCTAATATATTTGGATTACAAATTGCGTGACAGTGTCGTTTATAACCCATTGA